CAACGGTCCTGACCCCGAGCCCACACAACGGTCCTGATCCCGAGCTCACCCAACGGTCCTGACCCCAAGCCCACCCAGTGGTCCTGACCAGGAGCTCACCCAACGGTCCTGACCCAAGCCCACCCAACGATCCTGACCAAGAGCTCACCCAAAGGTCCTGACCCCGAGCTCACCCAAAGGTCCTGACTCCGAGCTCACCCAACGTCCTGACCCCGAGCCCACACAATGGTTCTCTGACCATGAGCCCACCCACCGGTCCTTACAACGAGCCCACACAACGGTCCAATAAAAGGCCACCATACTTCTTTGAAGCCTGTAGGCTGGGGGGGAGCAGGAACCACACCGGGGACGAGATTCTCTAAGCTCTTCAGGGTGGTGGACTCCATGCCATCTTTATTCTGAGCCCCGCCCCCCTGTAAATGATGGACACGGAGACGGGCTCTCAGGATGCACAGAAACTGTCCAGGTTTTAAAGTGTGTGTGGTGGGGGGGGGTGTGTCCTCCTATTACGGCCCCTGCACCTTTAGAGGGCGCAGTCTCTGTTCAGGGCAGGAAGGTCTCCATGAGTAGAAAATGCTTTATCTCATTAACATAAATTATGATAATATGTAAACCAGCACTCCCTAATTTGTAGTGAGATCCCCAAAATGTCACCTTTTCCCTCATTAGCATATTAGAATCCTATGCAAATTAGCCAAGTTTCTCATTAAGTTAAAAGCGTACCCCAAAATGTGCCGGCAAGGATGGTGGGAGGGTCCCAAAATGCTCCCCCTTTTCTCCAACATTCTTAAGCGGGACTCTGCCAGTAAAAACGGGTTTTGGGTGGGGTAATTACTGAAAAATATATGCAGATCAGATGTAGTCTCCCTAAGTTGAAAGCCAACCGGAAAATGGCCAAATTGTGCTTCACAGAGGTGGGTCTCCCCTCATCTCCAGGGCGGAGCTTGATACCGTGCACTGCTCTCAAAGCCCATGTGGACTTCTTGGGGGTCGCAGTGCTGGGGAAAGCAGCGCCACCCGGTGACTATGCATGTAGGCGTGCCTTCATCTTCTCTATCACTGACCCCCTCCCCCCATGGGGTGAAAAACATCTCGTCAGAGCCTGGTAACCCCCAGACATGAGGGAAGAAACTTTATTTCCAAAGAACAAAAAAGGGAGTGAGTATGGTCCTCCTCCGGAGGAGGAGCTTCTATGTTCCTAATACCCCCCACGGCTTATGATGCCTGATAGGGGCCAGGGTGATTCAGGGTGACCCAAAGGCAGGTGGACCCAAATCCTGTGTGTGGTCCTATCATGGTAGAACCCATAACCACTGTGTGGGGCCTCTTAAAAACCCTACGACCTCAGCTAGGGTCCTTCCCCCAGCCCTGCATCCCTACAACCGGGAACGGGGATCAGGCCGGAGCCGGTACCGTTGGCACTCAGGGAGAATATAGTCACACGGTTCCAGTCACATTTTTCTGGGTGCGGCTTGACTTTGCATCTCATTTGCATACATCCAGAGCAGCGAATCCTCGGGGAACAAAGCAGGACCTTCCCAAGTACTAGGTAGAAGCCTGTATGGCTGGGGGAGCAGGAACCACACCGGGGACGAGATTCTCTAAGCTCTTCAGGGTGGTGGACTCCATGCCATCACCCCCACCCCCTCCCCCCTAAGTTGGGAGCAATAATCGGCGCTCAACCCCGGCAGGACTACTGGCCAAGGTGACAACGTCTATCCGGGCTCACCAAAAGGCGGAGCTGAGGAGGAGAAGCCGATCCAACATCAGGCTCGCCTGAGCCGAAGCTCCCGGGGTAGATCTCGCTGCGTAGGCATCTGCCGCTTGGCTATCCTATCTCTGAGGTAGCGAGCGGAATATAAAAAAAATTCCAAGGAAAGGGGGGAAAAAATATGAAAAATTATTTTTAAAAAATTTTCAAAAAGAAATTTTACAGAAAAACATAAAAATTACCACGGAGTCCCCCTCCTGATCTATAGCAGGCCCCTCCCTCTGGTAGGAATGTTAGGAGGGTCTCCTATTTTAAAGAGAGAAGAAAAAAAAAGTGCGTGCGGTGGAATTGCCGCCACAAAATGATCTGACGGATGCCGGGGGAGAAATATAAACAATGGGGTGGGGCTAGCAGTGATGTTACCGCTAGCTCCACTCCAACTGTTTACGTTTTTGTCACCTGTTTAAAAAAGTGCCCTGATAGGTGGAGGAGGAAATGGTGGGTTGGACCTGTTCCCCTTCTCTTACGAACTTACGGGACTTGGCGGGGAAGAACGAGGGCTTCGGGTAAAGCCTCTTCATCTCATCCAGGGCGGCAAATTTGCATATTCATTGTCACGTCCCTGGTCCGTGCAACATTAAGACACCTCACAGGGGGAATCAGACACCCTAAAAAAGAGTGCAGAAGGGCACTCTGGATCCTCAAGAAGCTACAAAGAGAAGTCCCATGAGTGCTGGGTGGAGCCTCTCAGATTCCTAAGGCAGAGTACTCACCCCAGCCGGGATTAGGCCGGAACCAGTATGATTTGGACTTAGGGAGACTATAGTTACACTTGAGCTGCATTCTGGTTGCACGGGGCCTGCGGATGGTCACGTTCGGGGAGGTGCTTGACTTATCTGATTTACATATAATTTGCATAGCGGTTCCTTTTTTTGTTGTTGTTTAAAGTCTGTGGTTGCGAGCGTATCGTGGAGTCACCACACACTAAGCAAAGTGTCTTCCCGCAAAGTGAAAGGGCCTTGAAATGACTCTGATTGGAGCAAAGCTGGGTCAGGTCCTACCCAAAGACCACCAAATCCCACCGCTCAGGAACCTACCAAAGCAGGTACCGTGAGTTTGGTAAGTTCTGGGTGGGAGGGGCTTTCCAAAAATCCCCTCGTATTCCTCCTCCAAAGGGCCTAAAAATTGCTGAACCCCACGAGACACACGGCCCCTCACAGGGGGGCCAGGAGCCCTCAGATCCACCAATCCAAAGGCCAACAGACCCTGATGGACTTCCCAAAGTAGGTCCCATGGATGGAGGCTCTTAGAGCCCCTAAAAATTCAGAGAGTGTACCTAACAGCCACAAACACTAAACATACTTCCACACGTGAATGAGGGGTCAGACTGGAACCAGTAATATTGGAGCTTAGGGAGACACTGGCAATGCTTTTTAGTTGCACGGGTTCTATGAATGGGGGGAAGTTTCCAGTTAAATTCTTCTTCTTGGGTGCCGCTTGACTCATCTGATTTACATATCATTGCATCCTCAGGGACCAAAAAGCAGGCCTTCGAAGTACTAGGTGGGGGGGGGCCTCTGAGGGAGGTAAAGAAAACCCGTCAAGGCCACAGAACAGAAGGATACGGGCTCCACACTAAGCCCAGGAGGCTCTAACCTGCTCAGATCAAAATACGACCAGAAAGCATTGCCACCAGAAGACTTCCCGCTTGCAAATGGGGGGGGGACCAGGCCGGCATAACCAGACCTGCACCAACCCAGGAGAACAGGAACCACCGCCCACCCTGAGAACCTATCCAACGAGGCAAAGGTCTCCACAGCCAACCATGACCACCTGCCGGAACGGGGATCAGGCCGGAGCCAGAATTATTTGGACTTCTGGAGACTATATTTACTTTAAATGCATTCTGGTCGTAGAGGGTCGGTGGATGGGGGGGGGGAGGGGTTTCAAGCCCAATTTTTCGGGGGTGCTTGTCTTATCTGATTTACATCTCATTTCCGTACATTCAGAGGAGGAAACTACAGAACCATTGCAGTGATTTCTTTTTTTGAAATCCATGGTGAGGGTGCGTTTCGCTACTCCGCTGAAGTGAAAGGGCCACAAACTTCGAACACCCCCCAACTGCT